GGATGATTGGCGTGTTAGCCAGTGTCGTAACAGGCTCGGTGGGGTGGGGGCAGGGGAAAAACTGCCCCTCCCCTGACGGTTTTTACCGGGCTGAACAAGCCGTCATACCGGGCTGGGTAATAAGAGAAAAGAATGAGGGGAGAGGGAGGGAAAGAGAAAGAGGAAGAAAAGAAAAGGAAAGAAAAAGAGAAGAGTAAAATAAAGACAAGAATAAAAAGGAAGATATCATAATGATGGGTAAGCGATGCCCCCGACGAGGAGGAAATTTCCCAGACGACAGCAAATTGGTAGAGTGGTAGAGTGTCGCTTAAAATGTTGCGAAAGTAGTCCAAATTCTGACAAGTTAGAGGATTGTAAAGTCCATGAGCAAAATACACATAATTTTTGTTTCTACCCCCCCCCCACCCCCGACAAATTGTGGTTTTTCTCCCCAAATGGGGGGAGGGGGCAGCTCTCTCCGACAGGGGCCCTGCCCCATCCCTGCTGGCGCCACTCCTGGTCTTAACACCGGTTTGTGTTACCATACTACTACTAATGCAACTTTCATTCTAATTAAAGAGACCCACGGATTTGTCATTGAAGATTCCATAACAGGCCCTTATTATTGCTATAGATCCACTACGTTATTTAAATCAAATTTAGATCGATCTTAATAATGTGACTTTAAATAGGTCTACATGCTAGCAACTAATTATAGAACATATTTGATATTATGATGTAGCTGGGCATTTAATTATGGTGATTAATTATAAAAACAAAAACAGTAAAAGATTTTAATCTTTCACTGTTAACACTGTGTATATCATTTTTAAATGATAATTAAAATTTCTTCAATTTCAAACAAATGACAGTTGATTTTCGTGTAATTTTGGAAATTTAAATGAATATTATGTACCCAATGTTGTCTTCGAATCCGATTAAAATCTGGCCGAATTTTGGCCGATATCGAAAAAAAGTTTGGCCGAATTTGGTCGTGATATGGCGTGTGTTTGGCAGTGAACCCTGTGGAATATCTGGCAACCCTGGTTTGCACATCTCAACAAGTTAAAAAAAAGTACTATTTTTGAGGAGAATAGTGCTTTCTATTGCCCCGCTTCTTAAACAATGATAACTAGAATCTATGTATGAGGTATTAGGCCTATAATATTTTGTATTTTCAGACTAACAGTAAATGTATTAAACTCAAGAATCTATACTATCATTCACTTGTTTTATTATTTAATTGATTCAAATACAAGGCCCACACAAAAACTGAACCCGTAAAACACGAATCCGTATGAGCTTGAATAGGCCTATCATGCTAGACGGTAGGTGATGCGACAGCGTTATGCTGTCGTTTCGGTTTTAAACATAGATTTAAAAATGGACTTTGTTGTTTTGTTGTGTATTTTCTTTTTTTATGCACTAACACATTATCGGTAAGAAAAAAAGGTAAAACAAAAATTTCCTACCGACCTACACGTTTTTTTTTATATTATTTATTTATTTATTTAAATTTTAAATATTAGCTTATTTATAACAAAATAGATCAATGTCAATGACCAATGTTAATGACTTAAATGTTCTAAATAATTTTTATGGTTTAATTATGTTAAAGTAAGTTTTTCTTGATAAAAATTAAAGCCATTGTTTACAACATAAGAGAAACTGGACTGAACCATGATTTTAATATATAAGAATTACCAAAAATGCTCATTTGGTAGTGCTGATAGTAAAATATGTGTTTAATGATGTCACGTCTGTGACAACATTATTATGTCACGTCTGTGACAAATTGTGACGTATGTTATTACACAAAATATGATTATAATATTTGGATGATTTTTTTAAAATTACATTTTATTAAGTATGGAAAGTAATTGTTTTCTGTGAAGTTTTACTATACTGTTTTTAAATTGATTATATGCTAATTTAAATTACTGTGTAGAAAATAATAATTTGGCACAAATTATTGATATCGATCATTAAAATGTAATATTTCAACATTTCTTTGGTGAATATATTTAACAAAATTTGTTTTCAACATTAAAACCATTCTGAACGCACTATCAAACATGTTATGTTATATAAGCCGCGCCAAGAGACAAGATAATAGTCATTTGAGTTAAAAGTCACCAACTGAATAGTTGGAGCCTACAATACTTAGGCCTATATGTTTGCGGTTTTTCATGTTATAACCATTATTATTTCATACCAGTTCAGAGACTCAAGGTTTTCAATTAATGGTTAGTTGTATAGTTCACCTTCTCGAACGCAGTTAGAAACACCTACAATTTGGCAAGTGGTGGCGCCAGAGGGGGGATAGCCCCCCCCCCCTGTCGGGGAAGACGATGACCTTTGTCGGGGAACAAACAAATAAAAAAATAAAAAATTTACATGTAATATTCGTTTAGTCACCATATTGTTTGTGTTAACTTTTTCATCACAACAACAACAATAACAATAACAACAGCAACAATAATAATAATAATAATAATAATAATAATTCAATGAGAATAATTTAAAATAATTTGCGTTCTGTTATGACAAATGCTCATTTAGATAGCCTCATGATGGTTGGAATACATCGTGATATGTGAAGCAACCTCGACCATGACAGCGTGGTTGACAGATTTCATGCAAAATTTCCAAAATATAGAATTTCACTTTCAAGAATGAGGATTTGAAAATAAATTAGATGGTTACATTGCATACTCTTTGTTTCTTGCTTTATTCAAAATGTTTTGGTTTTGGAAGCTGATTTCAACATTAGAAAGCATAGCCTACATGAAGTCATATTATAGTAACTCAATGCCTATCAAATAAGTAATAAAAAATCGCCATAATTCATCAAATATCCGTGGCTTCCCCCTGGACCCCCACCGGGGGCCCTAGGCGTCCCCCTGGCCCCCAGCCAAGTGAGACTCGATTCGCTCCACTAGCCCCCCCCCCCGTCGGGGCCTTTTGCCCCTCCGTCGGGCAGGTCCTGGCGCCACCACTGAATTTGGCATCACATTAAACGTCACAAAAGTAGGCAATGTACCATAATTGTTGTTCCTATTGTAGCATTGCTACTATTGTTGCATAGTATTACATTGACTTACCTCATATTTTATATTTAGCGATTCGGCAAGTCGACGTACTGTTGACCAGTTTTTAGAAGCGATGGCTTTATGAAGCGTTTTGCTATTTAGAGTTTAAAAAAAAAAAGAATAATTTTAGATTTTACATAGTAATTGTAAACACTGAAACATATAAAATAGGGAGTTATCACAAGCTTACAAAAACGATAACGATCGAATACGATACGTCATCAAATTTTTAGAAAACCCTTTCCCTACTGTAGCATATCTGTCACAACGTAAGCAATGCATGCCTTTTACATGAATCAAGGATCATATTCTGCTCGTGCAGCATGTCGTCCCTTAAATAACGTCGTGGCGAATGTGGAAAAATCGTGTTTTTTGTTTTGTTTTTCTTTGTTTTTTTTTTTTAATTTGTGAATAATTTAAGTTGTCTTACTGTCTAGAATATCTGGAAAATTGAGTCAATTAGATAAGTAATTAAGGAAGAATATTAATTAAAATATTATATTAATAAATATCAATCGGTTTGTTTAATACAAACGGGCGAATGTAACATTTCACGCACTACGCATATCTCGCGTAGGGTTTTCTCCGTAAACAGCTATGCGTGCGCGCAAAGATACTAGAAATATAAGGCTACGTTCAGACCTGTGAGATACGCCAGGCGTATCTAACGCCAGGCGTACGTTAATCCATGGCGTAACTAGCGAGATGTCCAGACTGGGCGATTAATGAACGCTAGCGTAAGTATTCGCGCGAAA